CTTTAATTTAAAAACAAACACCCCCCCCCCCCCCAAATTTCCTTTTTTCCTTGGAAGGCTGCCATTGTTGGCTGAGGCACTGATAATTTGGGGAAGCCAGCAGGACTCCAGTACAACATACATGTCTGAAGCACAAAGCACAGCAGTCTAAGATAAGGTCCCTGCAGGCATGAGCTCTTCTTTGGGGCAGCACATTTACTTGAAGAGGACGTGGCTTTACCCTGACCACGTCATCCCCACTGACCCAAAAACACCATGATCCACTGCACAACTTGAAGCTGCCTTTGGAGAAATCAGTGCAGCTTGTTTGAGCTGCCTTTCTTTCCTGCCTCAATGCTTATTTTCCAACGCATTATTTCCAAAGCCCTGGTGAGATGGAGCAGGGCTGCCACCAGTGACGGTGCCAACCCTTCACAGAGACGCCCCCATCAGCCCTAGTCATTGCAGCCACCCTGGCTCTGAGGTGCAGCCCATAAAGCATGTGCCAGAGTCCCAAGCACTGCAACAGAAACAGACACGTCTTATTATGTATTTAAAGACAGGGTTGTGCTCAAGTGTTTTTGAACTGAGGCCAACATTATCATGTTTGAGGTTCTCATCCCATTCGCTTATTTGGATTTGCATCCTGCTTTTGTTTAAATGGTTTTACACCCTAGATTCAGTGGTTGTAGAAGTGACAGAAATGCGACTCTCTTGCTAAGTACAGCAGAGTAAAAATGACAGATTCGACTCCTCCCCTACCAACATCTTTAGGTATTTCCATCCTCTCAACTGCCAGCTACCTTCAGGCTCTCTGAGACTGCACAGTGCAGAACTCATAGCAGGACTGGCCTGATTCAATTTATTGATTTACATAAGCAACTTTAATCATCATTTAAGTCAGTGAGAGGAAAAATGATTTAAATAATAATTTTCATTTCAATTACATTTGTACTTTTTAGGGCCTTTTCGAAGCAAACCTGATTATACTATTTTTTAAATCTAAATTACTATCATTTTTTTTTGTGATGTATGATAAGCTCATGTTGGAAGGAAACTGTTATTCAATTAAAATCAAACAGCATGTATTTATGTATACAAATTAACTTCACTGTGCTAGGCATATAAGAAAAGAAAGAAAAGCTTCGTACTAAGCTTCGTACTATTGCACGTACAAAGCTTTATTAAACAAAGTATTTTTTGAGGGAACAGCACTGACTACAATTAAGCACCTCTAAAATTTTAGAACTAGTAAAGCTTATTTCCATGGGTCTTGTTTATATTCACAGACTGGAAAAGCCATACAAGCTTTCCAACATTAATAATCTCTCATTGGATTCTCAGATTTGAATGAAGCTACAACTCAACAAGCAGATCAAGCAAGTGAAAACACCCTCTGCATCTGCACCACAGGCTGCTAATACTGAAACTGCCTGTAGTATTTTAACAAACCGATACCAAGCCTTAATAGGCTAGCTTCCTCCAGCCACAATCACGTACTGTTTAATAGTTTAAAATTTGATTTAAGTGCTTTCAAAAGATTGTGAGCAAACTAGGTCTTAGCAGAAGTTTGGTTTAATCACTTATGCAGAAAGTAAAAATGTGTTATCTAAAATGTTGAATAAAAACTGTGGTTTTCTTTTGGAAGAAATTCTTTGGAATTTCTTTTGGAAGAAATCTATTCTTATTCAGCTTGACCTGGTTGGCAGCTTGTATCTCCAAACATTTGTACTGGGATCCCTCCATCTCTCAAATGACTGATCCACATGTGTTTGTCCACCTTCCCTATTAAAATCTGATTTCTTCCTACAGACACCAGTATAAGTGTGTTGCCAGTGGGCTCTTAGAGGCACCTAAGCCACCTATAAAATTACCTTCTAATGGGGGGTTCCCAATATGAAAAAAATCAAAAGCTGATCCCATTAAAAAGTACTTTGCCAAAGGATCTCAGTTTAATAAGAAGAAACACCTGCCACACGTGCTAACAGGGCTTGTCAAAGCCTCTCCTCCTGAATCTCAAGACAAAGGGCGATTCGACCCCTGCCGTCTCCCCATGTCCACGTCCCAACTCCTATTCCCCTGCCCCAGCTGCCATAGGGGAGCTCTCTGCCTGGGTAGGACAAACTTTCTGCAAAGCCTGGGGCCTCTCATCCCTGCCCAAGGGACTCATTTGAGTCTGTATCTCCTCCCACTCAAACAGTTCAGCCATCGCTAGTCCCAAAGACAGCGGCACATGGCAATTTTTTCTTGTGACAAAATTATCACTATGATCTGCAGGGTGCTAACACAGGTGAGAACTTTCCTTTTGCCAAAAGGCCTCATCTACACTGAATAATTGTACAATATGTAACTAAAACTTGGCAAGTGTTACTGGCACATACATAGCACCCATCCTGGTAACCCTGATTCATCGGCCTCTACGCAGACTGCTCTGCTTCTGCAAAGTGCTCAAGTATCCCCTCTTACAGCCATGGCTCCATCGCCAGCATAGCAGTTGTGTGCACCCACTTCTAGGAAATTTTGGCTACTCCACCAACAGGTGAAAGGCTGCAAGAGGATGATTTACAACTTGTAAGCTTCTCATCCAGCATTTCTCTCTCACCTTAGCGTCGTACATGAGCATGGGCAAAGGAGATCACAGTGGGGCAAGCCCACATCAGGGCTGCTGCAGCCCTGAGCTCCCAGCCCGCCCGGTCTGGCACTGCTGTGAGCTGACTCGGGGCTGATCCTGCTGCAGTGTCTCCTTTTCTTGTTGCATGGTCACCTTCCCCTGCAGCGTCTCCTGAATGGGCTCACTCCTGGGCTCGCAAGCCAAGTAGACAACTGCTAGGCAGACAATTTCTCCTGGCAGGACACTTTTTTGGGTCTGACTAATCTGAGATGGCTTCATTTTTCTGTTGCCACGGCCTTCCTACCCGTACAATGAACAGAAATGTCATTCACCTACAACAGACACAAAATACAAAGTTTCTCTGATGCTGATATCTAAAAGCTGCTTCATATGTTAATGTATCACTCCAAGCGCTGCTGGTTACCCATTCATAATTTAATTAAACTGAGCTCAAACTCTCTTTCTTGTATAATCAGTGCTCTTTTCCCTGTGACAAGCAACATTAACTGAATAAATTGCTCAGCAATCCAGGTACGACATGCAGCTTGGCACTCGCCATCAGAAGGAAGAAATCACCAACAAACGCAGCCCAATTTGTCAATTCAAGGTAAAATAACTTTCTTTGTATCACTACAGGAGAAACAAGATGTATATCCTTCTGTCAAAAATTGGAAACTGCTCTCGAAAAAGTCCAAGTTAATTAAGAACTGATGAACCGTTACTTCTCACCTAAGTGAGAGAACACCAATTACAGTCAACTCATTTGTGGCTGCTTCTCACAAAGTTCTTCTAGATTTCACACACTGAGGAAAAAAAAAAAATCTACATTATCCAGGGAAAATTAATCAGCAATTAAGCCTCAATGTGTTTGGGATTAATAGCTGACCTGGCAGAGAATTTAAATGCACATTTTGCAGCATTAGAAGGCATTAAGAAGTGGGGTTTGTCAAGAGGGATGCACAGAAGCTTGTGCTAACTGCCCTGGTCCTCATGATCTCAGCCTGCACCGCTCATACACTTAGCACAGGTATCTCCGATTAACACTGCATCTTCTCCTTGACACTCCCTGCCTACTAATATCCAACCTTTTTAGACATGTGTCATAGATTAAGGATGTGCAGGGCCTCAGGATAAAACAACTTGCTGAACCACAGTTCAGGCATCTGTCCTTCTTGATTTCAGGTAGAAGCAATTATATATTCTAGGGGAAGCACCCCATTATCTGTAGCCATGGTGGGTGGGGGACCTTTAGGTAATCTCGGTGGTTGGAAACCTCTAATAATACAGCTGTCCCACTATTTCTATAAGAAGGTAAAATAACCACCCAGTGGGTCCACTGGATTTATTAACTCTCACTTGGTCCACCACTGCTGGGTCTGCCCTGACTCCCAAAGGACAATTAGAGTGATTAGCTCAGGCAGGGAACGAGCACATGCAGGCAGCTTCATCCACATCACATCCTGG